GGAGGAGGAGGAGGAGGAGGAGGAGGAGGAGGAGGAGGAGGAGGAGGAGGAAGAGGAGGAGAGGACGAGGAGGAGAAGTCGAGGAAGAGGAGGAGGAGTCCGGCGCCCAGGGTCGGTCTCCCGAAGGCCGCCCGTGTATTGCACACGCCCAGCCAACGAACTACCGCCCGGAGAGCAGCAACAGCTGCGCAGGAAGGGCACAGGGGTGACCACGTCGCCTGTGAAGACTCGCGGCCCAGCGGTTCCGACATGGTGCGTTGGGAGCCAAAGGCATCCCAGGAGCACAAGCTCCTCAGCCCTGGGTGGGCACAAGGCCCTTGGGACTTCCGTGGCACAAGCCACCGCCTCCCGAGGAAGTGCCAATCCCTGAGGGTCAGATCACAATGAAATGACCGCACAGGCGCCGCTACCCGCCTTCACCCGCAGGGCCAGGCTGAGACTGGGGCCGTGCTACACCCAACGACGGGAGACCCGTCGATACAGGTTTCGCAACGTCCACCCCAAGCCCCAGAGCCCGCAGTTCCAGAAAAATCGGCCGTTGCACCCCGCCCAACCTGCAAATTAAGTGCCGTGTACAGTGTGCCCCGAGGGTGCTCGGCACTGACACCATGAAAACAGGTGCCAGGCCTCACCCTGGGAGCGGAAGAGGAGGAGGAGGAAGAGGAGGAGGAGGAAGAGGAGGAGGAGGAGGAGGGGGAGGAGGGGGAGGAGGAGGAGGAGGAGGAGGAGGAGGAGGAGGAGGAGGAGGAGGATAGGTTGCAGGTCCGAGGTTCTCGGGCCTGCTCGTCGGTTCTCGTGGGCGTTCCGGCCTATGGGTTGCCCTTCGGCAGCCGCGCCTCGCTGGGAGCGTTCTCCAGGGGGGGGGTCCTGAGGTCGTCCCGCGCGGCGGCGGCCCAGAGAGCCGCGTGACGGCCCGAATTGGGAGCCTTGAGACGGGGGTCCATGCGAACGGGGGTCAGCCAGAGCGCCTGATCTTGCAGGATCCTGCAGGGCCAGGGTCGCACTGACCCAGGCTCGGGCGCAGGATCCTGCAGGATTTTGCAGGATTCTGCGCGTTGACCCGGGTTTGAGTGCAGGATCTAGGATCTTGCAGAATTCTGCAAGGCCTGACTGCCCCGTGTCTGGATTAACCCGGTTCAGAAGATCCCCGACCGAAGGTAAGGTGGGTAGCGTTAGGGTTAAGTCGGGCCTGTCCCTCCACAGGAGGAGTATCAAACATAGTTCAACAATGATCAGGGGACGATTTTTGAGTTTTCTTTAAAGTATCGACTAGTTGTGTGATTTTTAAAAGATCGTGCATCATCCGCCTGTATGGGGGACACGCCCGAGCTACTAGCGTTAGGGGGAATCGGTGATGTATTCGTCTCAGCGATGATCTCTTTGCGCGAGAGTGGCCGGTTGCACAGCCGCGTTTTTTTAGCGCGAGTTGGCTGTCCGCCGCAGCTCCCAGTGAAGAGTTTTGGGCGTCAGCCGTCGCAGCATGTGGTCCGCTCCCATCCTGGAACGACCTTCGATGGATCCGGGCCGCTTGCTGCACAGAGTGGTGGACATCCTGTGAGCCGGCATACGTTTCACAAGCCCGAATATTTCGGTGATCTTCCTTGTCGAGGCCACGGCCTCCGCGCCATGCCCTAATGGGCACGGGCGGGCTCCCCGGAGGAGTGCGCACGACTCCGGCGTTCGCTTCGCTTCGCTTCGCTTCGCTTCGCTTCGCTTCCCAAAGAATCAGGTTCAGGCGGGGATGCACCGCCCGCCATTCGCCCCCGCCTCGCCGAGAGGCGTCCGATGGCCCACCCACCCGCCCAGGGGCGTGCGTGGCTTCGCTGTCATCGAGGGCCCCGCGGCCTCCTCGACGGTGCCTCGCCGAGTTGTCCAGGTCGAGGTCTGTCCCTCCCACGGGCAGCCGCCTGGCATTGCTCGGACGTGTGCATTTTCTCGGCGAGGACCATCGTGAACCATCCTGGAACATCGGGCAACCAAAAAACACGCACGAAATCAAACAGTGCACGGGACATGGACGTCCGCGCGACGGCAAGGGTCTCTCCCTCCCACGGGGGGCCGGTTTCCCCCCTTCCTTCCGGAGCCGCTGCCCCGCAAGGCCAGAAAGGGGGGACGACCGCGCAAGCCTCCTGAGAGGAGGGAGCCGTCTCGAGGGCCTCTGGGGAGAGGACGGGGAGGATCACCACGACGACGACGACGACGACGACGACGACGACGACGACGACGACGACGACGACGACGACGACGACGACGACGACGACGACGACGACGACGACGACGACGACGACGACGACGACGACGACGACGATGTGGTGGTGTCAACCTCTTAGGGATCCCAGAAACCAAGACATCGGGTAGCTTGGCCCAGCGAGGGGTGTCCTCCTCGTCCTTCGCCTCCCCGAGCCCAGGGTCGATGCACAAGGGGGGCCTCCTTCCCAGACAGCCAACGTCTTGACAAAGCCAGGGCACCCAACGTCAAGACGTTGGGTGCCTGGGCCCCGCGAGGGGGGCCCTCGGCGCCCCCCCGAGCTGGAGACCAGAGAGGTGCCTGGAGTCGAGCGGGGCCGGGGGGGGGGGCCCCCACGGCCAGGCGGACCCGCCCCTGCCGCCTCGCGGTGGTGTGGGTGGTGTTGCGCCAAGAGCGGGGGCGGCCAAGAGGGGGGATATTAGACTTGTGGAAGTCGATTAATGGAGAGGAAGCATGCTGCCAAATAATTTCCAGATGTCTAAAACATGTTTCAAACATGTCTTAAATCTGTAAAACATATGTTTGGAGCATTTTTAGAACATGCTTCACACATGTTAAACACATCTGTAATACAATGATCGGATTGTTAGAGTGTCCATTGTCATGGCATCCACAAGACTAGGCGGGGGTGGATCTCATGGCGGGGGCCAGGCTGCGTCCCCAGATTTCATGGCGCCTCGTCTTCTTGCAGTGCGTCCCCAGGGCCCCGCCCTGGGCCGCGCCCAGGCCGCCGGCCACGATTTTTGCGCCCCGCCCCCTCTTGGGCGCCCCCCTCTCGGACGCCCCGGGGTTGCCGAAGAGGGGCAAAGGAGTGATCCTCCTCCTCCTCCATAACCTCCTACTCCGCCTTCTCCTCTCCTCCTCCTCCTTCCTCCTCCTCCCCCTCCTCCCCCTCCTCCTCCTCCTCTCCTCCTCCTCCTCCTTCCTCCTCCTCCTCCTCCTCCCCTCCTCCCCCTCCTCCTCCTCCTCCTCCTCCTCTCCCCTCCTCCTCCTCATCCTCCTCCTCCTCCTCCTCCTCCTCCTCCGCCTCCTCCTCCTCCTCCTCTCCTCCTCCTCCCCTCCTCCTCCTCCTCCTCACCTCCTCCCCCCCCTCCTCCCCCTCCTCCCCCTCGCCTTGTGGGTCAGCGTCGGACTCCCGCTTCCGTTTTCCATGCAGGGATCGGCGCGCACCAGGGCCACATTGGGCGGCATTGGCCTCCTCTTCCGACGGGGGGTGCTTTCCCGCCGCGCCTCTGCCAGGGCCAGACCCGTGAGCCTTGCGGGTCAGCGACGGACCCCCGCTTCCGTGCAGGAATCGGCGCGCACCACCGCCAAATCGGGCGGCAGTGGCTCCCTGTTCCGAGGGGGGGTGCTTTTCCCGCCGCGCCCATGCCGGGTCCAGATCCACGGATACACAGTCCATGTCAGCGTGCGCCCGAGTTTACCGGCGTGTCGGGCCCCTCCGGTCCATGAGGGCGTGGCGACGTTTCGCCGATCGATTTGCTGGGATCAGGCTGGATAAATCAAGGTCCATGTCGACAAGTCGAGGTACAGTCGGACCGAGGCATAAGATCGAGATCAGCTCGGGTAGGGTACCCTAGTGTTCTTCGTGCTTCTTGGACGTTCCTGTGCATCCTCGGGAGGGCACCCTTGTTTTGGTTGGCGGAGAGTCTCAGGTTCTTGAGCGACGTTCTTCTGGCTTAGGTCCAACTGTAAATCAAGCTGACATCGAGGTACATCCAGGTACATCCAGAGATCTCCGGGGAGACTCACAAGAGCAACTCGTGGCCGCTCCAGCGCGAGCCGAGAGCGGGCAGAAGAAGCCCCTATGTGCTCTTTCAGCGAAGTTCCTTGGGCCTCTCCAGAGGCCTCCACAGGCACCTCGGGGGACCTCGGAGGACTCTCGG